GCTTTTCCCTGTGTTTAACACCTTCCCCTTCACTCTGCCTCTCTCACAGCGTGCAAGTAGGCTGTTATGGCATACGGGGATGGGGGCAGCTCGCGCTCAACTTCATCAACGTGGCGAGCCTTGCACGTGAGAGGCACAGTGGAGGTGGAGTTCAAAGAAGAATGAGAAATTTAATGGTTTCAATCTGCCCTTGTTTTTTCTTTTTCTTTTTATTTTTGCATGTCATCACTGTGCCCGTTTTTTGCTTTTATTCTTTGTTCCGCAAAGTGCGCTCTTTTAGTTTGTATATATAGTTCTATTTGACGATATATATGTATTCAGCCTCCTGATGAGTCGGTGAAGCTCCGACGAAGCAGTATGTCACAGCCCCTCGTCTCTTGTCTTCTTTTCCCTCTCTGCCTACGGTTTACCAGGCAGTTCTGTTTGACGATATGTATTCTATCTAACCTCAGGCCTCCCTATCCCTCTGTGAATGTCTTGGCCTCTCTCGCTCACTATTTCCTTCACTCCTCTACGAATAGGGTGCCATTGACTACGTTTACCCTTCCCCTCTTCTCTCTCATCCATGGCCAGGTCGTACAATAAGAAAGCAGCGCTTCCGCAACAGCTCGAATGGCAAAGGGTGTTGACGCTGGCTGCGACTTGGCTTTCTTTTTTTTTGTTTCAAATATGTTTCATCCTTGCACAGGTGCGATGCTAATCTTCTCTGTGTTGTTCCAATTTAACGGACAATTTGACCTTTGTACTTGCTGCAGTTCGAAAATTAGACTTGTGATGTCAGTCCCTTTCCTTGCTGCTGCTGGCCTCAATGATTCGGACTGTTGTAGGACCTCACTTGGCCTGAGCTGTGACTGACCACGGACTGACACATGACGGGTACCTAATGACCGACCATACGGCCTTTATCCTACCTGTGTTTATACAGTCTAGGTACGGTACCTGCTCGAATATTCTAGTACACCAGCTACAGCCTATGAAAAGGGTCTATGGTTTGGACTTGAGACATTGGTCCCTTTCCTTGGCTGCTTGTGACGGTGATCCCTTTCCTTTCCTTGGCTGCACCTGCCCTTAATTATTTGGACCGTCGTAGGACCTTCCTTGGACTGAGCTGCGACTGACCGGGGACTGACACGTGACGGGTACGTAGCGACTGACCGACCCTACGGACCCTATCCTACCGGTTGGTATACAGCATAGGTACGGTACATTCCGGAGTGTTCTACTACGGCCTATGAAAAGGGTCTATGGTGCAGCAGAAAACTGGGACTTTGTACCTAGACCGGACTTTGAGGCACGTGGATCCTTTCCTTTTATTAAAATTATTTAATATTTCTGGTGTACCAGTTTCAGTGTCAAACCACTCCTTGGTGCACTGCGCAGTATACAGCATGGCACTCAGTGCACCATCCCAGTGTGCCGTAACCATGGTTCAGGTAAATGAGGGGTGGGTGGGGTGGCCGCCTCGTGCAAGCATATCGTTGCTGTGACATGCCAATAGCTGATGATGGCTTTAGATAAGTTTTCTAAACTTTTTCAACTTTTTCAACTTTCCACGTACCTGTCCTTTAGGACACCCGTTAGAATTGGAACGATACAGAGAAGATTAGCATGGCCCCTTGCACAAGGATGACACGCATAAATCGAGAATTTCGAGAAATGGTCCAAACTAAATACATAAATGCATAATAATAATAATAATAATAATAATAAAAATTTCCACGTACCAGTGGTTCGAATTGCTTTCACTCAACTGTGCAATGTATCACTTCGTTCTTGGTATTGAATCTTGCAGGGGCAGTCAGAGGGATTCTATGAATACGGAAAGGGAGGGCGAGGATGAGAATGCTCTGCTCCCAGCCGACCTCGTGAATGCTGCTGTTGCTCACTGCCTTCGCATATTAGCGCAGTTCGCCAGTGGGAGCCCAGGAGGCGTAGCTGCTGCGACTGTGGGTGGCGCCGCAGCAGGAAGCGGAACTCCCAATGGCACTGGGGATGGAGGCACCCGTGACTCATTAATGGATGCTGTCTTATGCGAAGCGGTAGAGTATGCTGGCAGCCAATCGGATGCCTCTGTTCTTCTGTGTCATTAATTTTTATTCCTTTATTTCATACTTGCGGCGCGTAGGTGAAGTGCCCTGCGCGGTGCGCGGTGAGCTAATCACAGATGCGGGCGCCCGCGGAAAAAAATAAAAAAGAAGAAGAAGAAACAACCATGATGTGTGTATACACGCTGGAGAGAGAGAGAGAGAGAGAGAGAGAGAGAGAGAGAGAGAGAGAGAGAGAGAGAGAGAGAGAGAGAGCACAAAGCCCTTTCACATTATTCAGACAACCCCTGCCGCTATTCCAAAAGGTCCCTGCCAAAAGTTGGCAAGGTCCCGTCGGCAGGAGAATGGTGGTCACTAGAATGAATCTTCTCCTAGAAACTGGAACCATACAAGCCATACGTTTTTCTTTTCTGCAAGTGCTGATGAGTGGAGGGAGGCCCTTAGGGCC